CTTTGCACCTCTATGCTCACAGTTGTGTGCCTGAGATGACCACATTAGAAATATTAGCTCTACACTGATAACATATCGAGCCAAGAGTGGAAAATCTATCTCAGATGGCAGGTTTAGTGCTGCAAGCCGAAGCTTTAATACTCATAAGGAATTTTTGTACATACATTTACCTTCTTATTCAGAAGTTTGGACATATTCAACATAAACAACCACCATTATAATTGAACAAAATAAGAAAAAGCATAATTAGTTGGCTGTGAGTAGGAGTTGGGAGCTATGCTTACCAACAGAACTAGAGTACTGTGAAAAAATCTCCTCATTTCTTTACATCTTGATAGAAAAACAGGAACTAGGTGCAGCAATTTATTGAAATGTGCAAACACACAAGGAAAGAGAGTATGTAAGAGAAAAAGGGAGTTTGCACAATTCTAACAAGCTTGCAAGTCAATATTTGGTATGACCACCTTTTTTTTCCCAACGCAGCCTGAACTCTGTTAAAAACATTACAAGGAAGATTGTCTAAGCAGCCTTCAGGAATAGTTCTCCAGGCTTTCTGGAGGACATTTAAAGCTCTTCTTTGGATGTTGGCTGCCTTTTGATCTGTTCTCTGTCAAGAGGATCCCACACTGCTTCTGTAGCATTGAAGTTCGGGCTCTGCATGTGTTCTGTTGTGTGTTCTTGTGTTTTTCTATCCAGGTATGCTTTTATTGCATTGGCAGTGTGTTTATTTGTGTGTGATGATTGTCATGTTGACAATGAAACTGTTGCCTGTCAGATGCTTTCCATATTGTACTGTCTCTGATGGTCCTTTTCTGTGTTCATAATTCTATCAACACCACTGACTGAAATGCAACTCCAAACCAGACACTCTCTCCTGTACCTCTCTCATGACCTCCTTTATACATCATGATGTTGTGATTTCACAGTTGGACATCTATTTCCATTTTCGTGACCTTTTGCAGGTGCAGATTTACAGTTTTAGTGCTGATCTCAAACTCTGGCAGAAAACAGACATCAAATTCTCTTTGAAATTTGGAGAATCTGCAACCGAGACTTTTGAAATCCTCCCCAAAGCCCATGAAAGTGAAGCTGTGAGGATAACCATCAGGGAAACTGCTAACATTCTCACTAACAGTTCAGGAAATCAATTTTGAAAATGGATTTTGTTGCATCTCCTGAAGGTCAGGTCATCCTACGGGATCCTAGGGAAAGCCTCTCTGGACCTTCAGGTTAGAGTTATTATATTATATATTATTATAGAGTTCCAGAGTTATCAGAGGTGTGTGGTTGGATGTGAAGCTATGACCCGATAACTAGGGATGGGTATCGTTTAGGTTTTATCCGATACCAGTACCAAACCGGTACTTTTGAAACGGTGCCGGTGCTTAAATGGTGCTCAAACCGGTGCTTAAAGAATCAAGAACACAAACTTTGTCCAAAAACCTCTCATGTTTAGCTGTTTTTTGTAAAAAGATAACAATGTTAGCCTTTTCTGCAGCTATGGGGCATATATGGTATCACTCTTGGCTGGAAGCAGTGCTTAAACAATGGAAAAAA